GGTCACTATTAGTTTAGTTGCTTTCCTATTTTGAGAGGTTTTGTTATTTTTAAACATTAATAAATCAACACGTAATGAAGCAAATTTAAAATTTTTTTGCACGGTTGAATAGAGAATAAAACCCCCTTTCAAATGAGCTATCACTCACCACCCCATGCCATTTAAATTTTTCGAAAGGGTTGTTCCCCTCCAGTAAGGGATGAAATTAAGGGTACACTAATAATAAAAAATGTACATTGTAGAAAACAAAAATCGACCTGTCTCGGCGATTTTCCTAACAAGACTCCAGTAACGAGTTAGTTAGGGGGGGTAAGACTTATGATGCTCACTGTATATAGATTATTATAGATAGAATACATCGTATGTCCCAACCCGTTAGACAATATACCAACCATTCCCACCGACAACCATTTTATTTGAAATGCCTAATGATGAGAGAAAAATTAAAACCCTACATCTAGTTGTCTGATGTAAGTTGTTTATTTAAATTTTGATATCCATTATTCAGAACTGTTAGTGTTTAGTTGTTAAATATTGAACATAAATTGAGTTCCAAATAGTGCTGGATGCTCACGTGTTCAGTTTCCGATTACTACGCGCATGACGTCACTCACAGAGTAATAGAATGATTTTCATTTGTACGTCCAAATAAGGACCGTTTACGATTCGCAACATCCTATGAGCCGCATCCACATCGATTTTCTCTTACTATACGGAGAATGGTCGCACTGCGCAGCTTTCTGAGTGCCTTTTAAAAGGAGATAGAAAACTCCGCCATTTTGAACACTTATTACGTGTTGCCTACATCTTGAAGCAATAGTTATAGTGACTGTTATAATATTTACCCAAAATCAGTCCCCAAAGATATTATTTTGTAAAGTGTAACAAAACCATTAATAATGAATATCTTGAAAACCTTGCTTAACTTGGTAATTTTATGTCAAATCTTTTCCATTTGTAAGTAACAGTAATAACTACTTTAATTATATTCCTATTTTTGTATTCTAAATGCTTTTTATTTTTCAGGTCTCCTAGGAATTTCGAGCACTTAATTTGAACAGTGTTTACAAACAAATAATCAAATTGTTTAGAAATTATTTTTAGCTAAACTCTGTTATGTCTGTTCTCAGCATTTTGAGGAAAATGCTTATTGCTCTTATGTAAAAAGGAATGTGATCAATCATGAAACAATTCTTTGTAGAAGACAAATACCAAGAAAATTGAAGCATTTACTTCAATAGATAGGAGCAGTATTAAAATCAAACTAAATAATATAAATAAACTTGTAAGTAATTGTTAAAGTTATTTTATTGAAGTTGTTAAAATTATTAATTATTTAATTTTGTTATTGTAAAACAGACGGTAGAAGAAATTTTTATGTCAGATTGATTAATAAAAAATACGAAAAAGTCAGTTCTTTAATTTAAGAAAATTTTATTGAAACCAAGAACAAGACGGTTTTTACAGTAATATTGTTTACTTTTTGGAACACTTATAATAGTTTTTATTTATTTCAAGTTTACTACCTCTGGCCCATATATACACCTGAAAGTAGAGGTAGCCCACAGCCTCACTAAGAAAATAGCCCCTTCTGCTAAATAGTTTGTCTGGAACAGTTAGAAAATAACCTGTAATATTTAATTTTTTTATTTGGTACAGTAAACTGTGTAACAATTTCGGATAAATGGAAATTTCTGAGAAGTAAAATTACCACTGATCCAGGTACATTCATTTTGTACGTTAGACATACACAGGCATCATAAAAGTAACAAAAACGTCTTTTAGAGCCACCATATGCGACATCCTTTTTACAATATTAAGTCGACGGACTAAGAAGAGCATAGCTAGACCATCGATTGCTATAGAAGTAGAAAGTAGGGAGATATGCAAGAGTTTTGAAAATGTTAATACAATTACCAAACTTATGTAATCTTTGAAAACGAGAATATTGGTGGCAGTAATACCCATAGGGCTATTTTCTTGAATAGAAAATATTCAGCAATTTCTTACTGTGTAACAACTGAAAGAAGACTCATTTGTAGATGAACAATACATCTGTTTTAGGTTTTAGTTTGGCATTTAGAATTGGCATCTAAACGTAGTTTTTGTTGCCACAGACTTTTGTAAACCGAATCATTTTTTGTTGTTTGTTTATTTATTTATATTTTAATATTTTCTTTAATTAAAAATTCAATAATTAAGTTATATATTTTCTCATTAAATGAACTTAATAAAATAGAAATACTTGATGGAAAAAGGATATTCAGGGAAGAAAGTTTTTTAAGAAAATCTGAACGATGAGAATTATGGTGGCTACAAGAAAAAATGAGATGGTTGATATCAGCAAAAGAAGAATTATCGCATTGACAGAAAGGTGATATATTAATACCAATTCTGGAAAGGTGAGACGGAAAACCCCCATGATTTAGTTTCATCCTTGTTAAAGTGGTACAATAATACCTAGACATTTTAAAATTTGTAATGTAGGGAATAGATTTTGGAAGAACAGGGTGAATAAATGTATATGGGTTATTTGAATGAGAAGCAAAGTGTTCCCAAAGTTTCTCCCAGCTTGATCTAATATTTCGTTTCATTGCATAAATAATATCCTGCGGAGAATGAATATTACTAATAGTTGGAAGAAGAATAGATTCTTTAGCAGCTAAATCGACTTTTTCATTTCCAGCTATCCCTTTATGACTTTTAACCCAGATAAAAACGATCTTGATTTTAGAATTATGAAGAGTAAGGAGAGACTGAATAATTTCTCTTATAATAGGATTTTTGTTAATATTACAGGAATAGTTAGAAATTGAAAGTAAAACAGATTTCGAGTCTGAAAGAATAACCGATTTGCTTTCTCCATAGCTTTTTATCCAATTGAGTGCTTGTAAAATTGCAAAAGCCTCCGCTGTATAAACAGATGAATAATTTGGTAAATGAAATTGGGAAATAAAGTTTTTATTTTCCACATAAAAAGCGCATCCTGTACCTTGTTTTCCTTTAGACTCATCGCAAAAAATAGTATTAACTGTATCTAGCGTTCCCAATACCGATTTTATGATTATGTTATTAATTTTAGGGGAAGAAATAAACTCAGGGAATAAGATTGTTGGCTTGAACAATAAGGAGAAAAAATTAAACTGGTATATAGGAAGAATATCGTAAGACTCAATTTTATTTAAAAACTGGTTTAAAGATACACAGGCTTCAGCCAAAGGTGGACTATTTTTAAATTTTCAATATTTGTTGGTTAAGTTTTCAATATTCAGGATAAAGGAAGAATTCAGAATTTTTTTCCGAAAACATTTTAAATGTAACTAACTTTTTGCATGCTAGAAAATGTCTTCGTAAGTGAAGAGGAGGCTCTTGTGCTTCCGCAAGAACCGCTGGAGTAGGGGAAGATTTAAAAGCACCGAGACATATTTTGACTGCTTTAACTTGCATACAATCTAATAACTTAAGGCTCGAGTTCGCAGCTGATCCATATAATATGCACCCATAGTCGATGATTGATCGGATGTAAGATCTATAAAACATTAACGACGTTGTTGTCTGCACCCCATTTAAATTTTGTGACACATTTAAGAATGTTAATGCCTCTTTCACATTTGGATAAAGTATAATCAATATGTTTTTTCCATGTAAGCTTATTGTCTAAGACAATTCCTAAGTATTTGAAGGAACTTACTATTGGAAGAGATATTGAATTAAACTTAATGACTTCTCCTGTTATCAGCCTGTGACGGGTATAAACCATCACAGCTGATTTATTTGCAGCCAAAGAGAAACCATGATCAAATAACTAGCTTGTAAGGCAATATATGACATATTTAAGATCTACAACACAATCGTGATAAGACTTACGGGCATAAATCATCCGCGTACTGAATACACTTAATCGGTTGATCAAAGATCTCATGCAAGCTTGCCGTGTAAATATTGAAAAGAAAGGGACTCAGAACGGATCCTTGAGGAATACCCTGGTTGACAATTCTAGGGCCATGCAGAAGGTTATAATGATCTCTGATATATACTTTTCTGTTTCGAAATAACTCAATAATATTGGCAGAGGCGTTTGTATCAAAACCGTAATAGGAGAGTTTTGTTTGTAAGATGTTCAAATCAACTGCGTCATATGCCCCTTTAAGATCTAAAAAAATACATGCTGTGTATTCATTTTTTGAGAATGAATACTGAATATCATTAACTGAGTACAGGCGTCTAAAGTACATTTAGACTTACGAAATCCGTACTGGGAACTAGGTAACAGAGAGTTATGTTCAAAATACCATTCTAAACGACGTTTAATAATTCTCTCAAAAGTTTTAGCAAAACACGATAACAGAGAAATTGGGCGGTAGGACGATGGATTGCTAGGGTTTCTCATTGGTTTAATAATAAATATAATTACCACTTCTTTAAAAGATTCATGAAGAAGTCCTTGTAACCACCATTGATTATAAATTTCATCTAAGACACTTTTTGAATTGTCTGGTAAATTTCTAATCAAAGAATAAGAAAAGCTATCTTTTCCAGGAGCTGTGTTACAATTCCCTATTATTTACCAGCTGAGGAATAAAACTTGGATCAACAAATGGAGGAGCAATATGGTCAAATAATTTTTCTATTAGATCTGGAGCCAGAACAGTTTTTTTATTATATTTATTTTTGTTTGAAATACTTTTAATATATCTCCATACTGAAGATATTGGAATATTTTTGTTTAAACTACTAACAAATTTTTTCCAGCTGTTCTGTGCTTTTTGTTTGAATATCAGCTTAATTTTGGCCTGCAAATTTTTATAAAAAATAAAATTGTCAAAATTCGATGTGTGACTATAGTTGCATAAAGCTATCTTTCTACTCTCAACTAATTAAAAAAAAAAAAAAAAAGACTTATCAGTTGTTAGTTTTTAGACTAGTTGGTTGTTATACGAGTTTCTTATCTAGGAAAATTTTCAGATAGATATAAATAAAACTACGTATTAAATAAGTTATCTCATTTTATTATGTTTAATACTGTTACAATTTCATTAACCCTAAGTAAATATTACTCGTATTTTGTCAGATTTAATTAGGCCAGGGAAGTTAAAAACGCCAAATACAGTACTTATTTTTACCTATCTGACATAAATTGACAACGATATAATGGTAACGACGCTAAACCCGTTTAAGCAGATATGCGTGTTTTTTCTTCTAGTTCCAAGCCATTTCTCTTATACTAGTTAATTTTAATTTAAAAAATTGGGGAATCTAGAAATAGTTTCTAGTCGGTATTCCAAACAAATGATCCCGAGTTGATTCGGAATTATGGAGGGTAGAGAAAAGGAGGACAATCTTATATGGATCTTTATATTAAAAAGTGGCCACCAAAATGTATACAATTAAGATGGCGCTCGTGTAGCCAGGGGACAAAATCCATTAATATATAGTCATATAGATTGCTCATTCATAATGAAATCAGACAGGAAGCAGTAAATTGAGACCTCCGTGCCATTTTAATATTAGAATTATTTATTGTTTATATTATTTTTCAATAAAATTTGACTATTGTCGTGTATTGTCAAAATTTATCTACGATCACAGAACACTTACTCTTCTACGATCAGTAACTTTTCACGGTGTAGTTTTTAGTTTTTTGTGGTTGAGCAATATTTATTACTATATACATCATTGGTGTCATTGTGTGATCTGAATTATCGACTATCGACGTCCCCTGGGCACAGAAGCGCCATCTTAATTGTATACATTTTGAGGGACACTTTTTGTATACAGAGATTGTTCTCCTTTCCTCTACCCTCCATATTCGGAATATTCGAACGTGACGTCAAAACAATAGTTGGTTTCTAATATTATTATGTTGGTATTGATCCACATTCGAGGTTAACCTAACGTCCAACGTGTTTGTCTTTGTCTTCTATCATTTTTAAGTCTTTTCTTGTTGTTATAAACCCATTTTATTCATAAGTAATGCTTTCCTTTTACCTTATATTAAATTCAAGTCTAGTTATTGACGATCTAAGATAAATGTAATGTCAGATGTCAAAAGAGACGAAGAAGGTTGGTCCTGTGTCTCTGATGTAGATGATAAAGAATGGTTGTCTCTGGTATTAATAATAATTAGAACGCCGTTTGAATATTCATTGTCTTTATTAAATAAACGTTATATAAGTGATTTACTGCGTATTAATATATTGAACAACAATTACAACAAAGTCTTTTCTCGTATCCTCAACGTACAATAATTTGAGCTGTGTCATCGCCATTGGAATCTATGCCGGTCAGGGTTGATATTTTCTGTTGGCGACCAAGCCGCCACCCTTCGAGAAGTCATTGCTTCGTCTTCTTGTTGTATATTTTATTCTTCTGATTCTAGATCAATGTTAATTTGCAATGGGAATAAAAGTTGTGTTGGTTTATAATATATCATATCGCACATAAACTTATCCTCGAATTTCGTTCGATACCAACATAATAATATTACAAACCAACTGCGTCGAAATATTTCGAATCAACTCTGAATTATTATTTGTTTAAACACCGACTAGAAACTAGTGAATATACATATGATTTGTCAAATATGTACGAAATAAAATAGTTGTTACTTTTTTTGACAGCCGAGCACATAGAAACAAGACTGGAACAGAAACGAAGTGAGCTCCAAAGGAATAAATGAGTTGGATGATTTGGGAAATAGTACTTCGTCCAAAGGAGAAGAGAAATAGGTACAAGGAAAGGAGGAGGAATATAAGGTTTGTTCGTAGAGCGATCCACAACCGTTTCCAACTGAACAGCGCATGTGCATTGAATATTTTGCGTTCGTAGAAGAATCACTGATAGTTTCCAATTGTTAGTTTGGCGTTCGTAGAAACAAATGATGTGATTTCTATCTGATTGGAAACGGTTGGAAAAATTTCTGACTATTCTCCAGATTTTAAATCCGGGACATGCGCACATGAAATACGTTTAATAACCTAAATTTGACGCTTGTTTGGCGTGAAATTTATGTGTTTATCATTCGTCCGCGCTTTTGTTGATTTGATTAGTTGTTCTTTATAAGTGTAATTAATATACATACATAAAATTTAATAAAATATGCATACATAAGACCATCCATTATGATGATAAAATATCAGCCTTTAACTTCAAAACATGAAGGAAGGATTCAAAACAGGTAATAAAAGTAAAATATTATTGATAAAATGGGGTGCAATTCATAACTAAAATAGATACGCGGTCATTCTGTGACTCATACAACGTCAAAATTCAAATTTCTTCTTTATTTTTGTCCGTTTACTAAATCTGTATCTAACATACGAGAAAAGAGAGATGAATCCACAACTCTACAAAATGCGTTCGCAGAGCATAAAAATTACAATAAATCCCAAACCGTTGGAAATCACGCATGCGCATCATAAAAGTATCACCAAACGTTTGAAACTGTCTCTACGAACAAACCTATAAAGAACAAGAACAAGAAGAAAATTAAAATTTTCTTATATTTTCGATCTCAAACCTTCTTCTGCTTCCCAGACAGATTTAAGAGCTCAAATAAGACACAAGCTTTCCACTTTTGTCAGAGAATGCAATGATCGCGGAATCTCAGACAGAACAGCTGCATTTATTTCTTCTGCTTTCTTACAGGCTCTTCGTCTTGTGTAACCGTATATCTACGATACCATTATTTTTCTTTCACCTCTAAGGTCATATGTCTAATCCGTGTCATGGTTTTGTGATTTGCCAAAAGAAAACTATTAGGCTTTGAATTGAATTTAAAATAAATTGTCGGTGATAAGGGTTAGTATGTCTAAAGGGTTGCGACATACAATAAGTGAAATCATGAATAGATGTTTGTTGAGCTGTGAATTTGATGTTTGTTAATGTACCTAAAGAAGAAGATATATTGGACTGGGGAAACAGAAGCCTGATATGGAAAAAAGATGTCGAAAACAGGTGCAGTGACAATGAGGCTTAAGGACTAACTGGAAACCGACGAGAACATCCTACCTAATCACCCAACCAAAGCCCAAAAGTAATTTATATAATTTTCCTGTAGTAACTTAATTCGGTTGATATAAAAGTTTAAAAGCTTTAAAACTTTGGCAAATTAGAGTTTGTTCTTACCTTATCTAAAGCACTTACTTTGGTTTCTCATAGTTTAATTATTAATGTATTTCCATATTTACTTGTTATATTAATCCTAATGTCAATATCACGATCCTTATAAAAGAGCTTTAAACACGTATACTGTAAATATATCATATATCGCTACAAATTTGACACCCAACGCGTTATTACTGCCCTTATGACCAGGGACGTATTTAAAACATTTTAAGGGATTGACACATAACTGTCTGAAGTCTTACCCCGGAAAATTTTGAATAATTTGATTTCGAATTCACAGATTTAGTTCTATGAAAAGTTATTTTTTGTGTTGTAATTTGCGTTAGAGGGATTCGCGGATTTTAAAAGGTGGATATTCGGCCAATAATCGCGTTGTTGCTTAGGCCAAAGAGAGTCTGGGCCCCCCTTATATACGTAGGTGCTTATGACTACAAATTTGGCGCCCAACGTGGGGCCAGACGAATGCAAGAAACGTTATCGATCGATACTAAGAATGTGAAAAACATTATGCAGGTATTTGTTGCAGTGCAAAGCTTGTTATTTTAAAAGAAGAAAGACAAGACCAGAACACAAATTAAAAAAAGGTAATAAATGTTACGCCTAATTGCGTTTACCTGGGACATTAAGGATTCGTCTGGATGTGTAGTAAACATTTAAGATAGAATATTAACGTTTTTTAATGTAAATGGTATATCAATTTATTCACTTGTATTGATTAGTTGTAATGGTACAAAACGTGGAGCATATAGAAATGCAGATAGCAAAACAAACCAAATGGAAAGCTGTGCCTAAAAACGACAGTAATTTAAAATAAATATATAATCATAACTGTCAAAATTTTATACAAAATGTCGGAAGTGATGTTACTTATATAACGTGATGTCGTCTACATCTCTTACCACCTCACTGGTTGAAACAAACCTATTGAATCGAGTGATTCCCAAAATAGTGCTTTAAAACTTGTATTTTTGCTTCAAGCGTAAACATTTTTTAATAAAAATTAAGAAAAAGGTGTTGATAACTAATAATATAAGCTTTCCACTACCGTACAACAGTGGAAGGGCGAATTATACAAGAATTTTTTAGATAAATGCTGTGGTTAAAAAGTAAGTCAATTTTTAATGATTAGATGAGTTCGGTTTTGCAGGAATTGGAGCGGGACATGAGTGGAAGTTTTTTTTTAAGTTTCTTAACTGAAAGGGTCGTTTAAGAGTTTAAAAGGTGAATTAACGAATAAAGTAATATCACCAAAAATTGATCACGTAAGGCTGTTGTATTTTCTACTGGTTCCTGGTGCATCCACTCTAATGTAATACAATATCTATAATCTCAGTACCTACTGTGAATGTATAGATCCAAAAACACGCAATCGTAACATATATCAAATTATTTTTGAAGAAAAAATGGAGTATCTCGAATTATGATCTTCTACACCAATGCAAACATCTATATCGTTGCTAGTGTATTAATACTTTTTGAGATGAATCGCCATGAATATCTCCACATGAAATGTAAAAATAATTTACCTCTAAATACTCTTTTTACCATAATTGTTATCTATCTTCGCTCGGCGAATGAGATTTAAGATGAATTGAATACTCTGAAGTCGTTTCAAAACTACTATTACAAAAATTACAACTAAAATTTTCTTTCGCTTCCTGCGTAGTATTTAATTGTTCCGTTGCTTCTTTAGATTTCTTTTCGTTGTGACGTTTCATATGAGCTCCTAAACAACTGTTTTGAGTAAAGGCCTTGCTGCAGACTAAACAGACATAGGGACGTTCACCTGTATGGGATCTTCTATGAACTATTAATGTACTAGAACCATTGAAACCTAAAAGAGAGGTTTCGTATATAACAAAAATAAATAAAATATTACAAAGTTCAAAGACAATTATTAAATAACCCACTAAACATGAAACATAACAAGTCTTTTTGTAACGTTTTATCTAGACTTTTCTTGATATATTTTTAAAATATTACTTTAATATCTAGTAGATGTTAAAATGTTAACATCATATTGATTAACATTCCTGTTAAATATCTAAAACTGAATTTTTATGTACACAACACTTGCATTCACAGTTACATTACCATCTTTTCTACCTCCTTTTAGTTACTTCCTATGACAAATATTTATATGATGTTAATTTATGTAATTCGCAATAATGTCGCATATAGGACAACACAGTTATGTACAAGTTACACATTCTTAAGATGATGATTATCTTTGTTTAATATTATATTAAAACAAAAAATCTGATGTGTCCAACACATGACTTTCCTATCTAGTTATTACAGGCTTTTTCCGGTTATTTTGTACAACCTATTGCAGCACAACTACAAATGTTTAGAGGATATATTCATTTAAACCGAAAATACTGAAAAATTTAAATTTAGCACTCTTCCTCCAATTCTTTCATTACGGTCCATTTTAGAAAAATCATATATAAACAAAAATTATAGAGATCGATATCGCAAACAACTTTTAGTTCAACAATTTTCATAAACATCAAAATTTGGCACATTTTGTCAAATTTCTCGAATACGGACCATTTCAGGAAATTTTAGCATAAGGCAAACATTATAGATAATAATATTAGAAGTAACTTTTATTTAAACAATTTTCTTCTCTAAACATAAATAACAGATATATTCCATAAAATATAAAAACGGCTTCCCATAAAGTACCCCCCAGATGTTCCACTTTGTCCAAAATCTAATCATTTCACGTCAGGCCGAAATAAAACTTAAGTTTAAAATTTAAATGTTTTTTACTTTCCTATCTGTATACAGATATAAGGAAAGTATAAGAATCATGATTTTTTTCGACCTCGAGTTTCCGACGGATTTTTACGTTTTGAGGTCCCCTGAATCCGTTTTGAATATTTTCGCGATGATGTCTGTGTGTGTCGCATACACAGAAAAACACCAAATTTTAAACTTAAGCTTTTTTCCAGCGTCCAATGAACTGATTAGTTTTTGGGCAGAGTCGGAACATCTGGGGGGGGTACTTTATTGGTGGTCATTTTTATATTTTATGGAATATATCTGTTATTTACGTTTAGGGAAGAAAATTATTCAAATAAAAGTTTTACTTCTAATATTATTATCTAAAATTTTTGTTATATACAAAATTTTCCTAAAATGGTCCGTATTCGAGAAATTTGACAAAATGTAAAAAAATATATTTTTTTTAAAAATTGTTTAAATAAAAGTTGTTTGTAATATAATTCTCTATAATATTTATTCTATACATAATTTCTCTAAAATGATCCGTATTCGAGAAATTTGACAAAATGTAAAAAAATATATTTTTTTTAAAAATTGTTTAAATAAAAGCTGTTTGTAATATAATTCTCTATAATTTTTATTCTATACATAATTTCTCTAAAATGGACCGTATTCGAGAAATTTGACAAAATGTAAAAAAATATATTTTTTTTAAAAATTGTTTAAATAAAAGTTGTTTGTAATATAATTCTCTATAATTTTTATTCTATACATAATTTCTCTAAAATGGTCCGTATTCGAGAAATTTGACAAAATGTAAAAAAATATATTTTTTTTAAAAATTGTTTAAATAAAAGCTGTTTGTAATATAATTCTCTATAATTTTTATTCTATACATAATTTCTCTAAAATGGACCGTATTCGAGATATTTGAGAAAATGTGTAAATTTCGAATTTTGAAGAAAACTCAAAAACGGATAAAGAAAAAAACATTAAATTTTAAACTTAAGTTTTATTTCGGCCTGACGTGACATGATTAGATTTTGGACAAAGTCGGAACATCTGGGGGGGGGGGGGGGGGGGGGGGTACTTTATAGGTGGTCATTTTTATATTTTATGGAATATCTCTCTTATTTATGTTTGGAAAAGAAAATTCTTCAAATAAAAGTTACTTCTTATATTATTATCTATAATTTTTGTTATATACAAAATTTTCCTAAAATGGTCCGTATTCGAGAAATTTGACAAAATGTGCAAAATTCTGATTTTTATGAAAATTGTTGAACTAAAAGTTGTTTGCGATATAAAATGGACCGTAATGGAAAAATTGTAGAAAAAGTGCTAAATTTAAATTTTTCAGTATTTTCGTTTTCAATGAATATCTATAGAAAAATGTTTCGAGGTTGATGTATGGGAAAATGTATATATTTAGTTTATCCTCTAAATATTTATAGAGGTGCTGCAATAAGTTGTACAAAATAACTGAACACATCAGATTTTTTAAGTTTGTATCCCTTAAATTAAATTTACCTTTATTGCAAATATCACAAATATGAGACTTCTCTCCAGTGTGTGTTCTCATGTGTTTGGTCAATTCGTTGGATTGGCAGAAAGATTTTTGACAAACACAACAAACATAGGGACGTTCTCCCGTATGAATCCTAATATGAGCTATTAAATTGGACCTTGTTGAAAAAGCTTTGGGACACATAAGGCATTTGTGTGGTCTTTCACCTAAAAATAATTTGTAAATAAGAAAAGCAAGTGCAATTATTTTGCAGTATTTCCTTGTTTAAAATAAAAATATTCTACCTGTATGTGTTCTCATGTGTTTTTCTAAATCTTGAGCCTGTCTACAACCTTTATCACATACAACACACCTAAAAGGGCGCTCTCCTGTATGGGTTCTTAAGTGAATTTTGAAATTACCGCTATGTGCAAATCCCTTATTACATATTTTGCATTTGTAAGGTAAGTCAGAGGAATGAGTTTTCATATGCCTGGTGAGTTTTGTTGTATTTCCAAATACCTTAACAAATAATTAAAGCTGTTTTATATATTTTTTAAATTTAGTTTAAAATTGTTATACATTTTTTAAAAACTAATTCTCTTGTAAAAGAATTACAGAAAGTATATGAATACTTAGTAGTTTTTGAAACAAGAATGGATATGATGGCAATACAGAACATCCAGTCGATTTGTACAGTTAATAAAATAATAAACAAAATGCACTTAAAAAATCTATTCTCACTGTAATTGTCAGTTAAACCAAAATTACATCCTCACTAATAGCGTTTTTAACTAACACCGAGTATATATGTGTTCTTGTTTATCGAAATTGAAAACAAGAAAGTGAGAATACACTCAGAATGCCCTGAACATTCCAGTGAAAAACACCATTATTAAGCTTTTATAAAATCTTGGCAATTATTTTGACTCAAAACTTTGTTTTTATTTTAATAATATAATACACCGATGTACATGCTGAGCATGATTTTCAGAAACTGCAAGTGTAATGTATTGAATAAAGTGTGTAATCAAACAGAGCCGAATTTCTCAAATTTATATATATGATCAGACAAAATGTCATGAACTTTTTCATTAAAGATAAGTAAAAAGTACTAAAGATATTCATCTATGTAAGTTTTAATCAAGGCTATTACAAAATGGAGTATAAACTGTAATAAATTTTGAAAACTACTGAAAGCAGACTTCAAAAACTAGCTTAATCATTATTATTATTATTATAGGAATGTACAAAAAAAAATACCTACCTTATTACATGTTGAACACTGTTTTGTTGAATTTAATATGACTTCAATCTTATTGTTTTTATCCTCTTCTTTTTTAACATTTATTTCATTAGAAATTTGTAATTCAGGTTGTTCTAAAAACTGTACTTGAGGTTGTCGCTGTATCTATAAATGTTAAACTATCATGAGAAAAAAATGCATATACTAAAATACAAACTAGAAAATTATTAACAATAAATATATAGAGTAAAAAAATTAGGTATTTTACCTGTACAGGAGCCATTTCTGCATTATTATGTAGTACTGCTGAATGTTGTAATGGCATGGAATAAGGACCATTATAAACCTGAACTGTTCCTACACATTCCACATTAAAAGTACCAAGCTGATTATAATCAATTTGCGTTATTTGAGGTTGATCAGTCTGAGTTATAGGAATAAAATTATTCTCTTGTGGAAGATTTTCAGTTAAGGGATTGCATTCAATGTACACACAGTTGTTTTCAGGCACGGTCTGTGCATATTGGGGAAGATTGATTTGAAGATTTTTTGGTGTTTCTTGAATTCGTACAGGTGTCTCAGTTGGAGGTTTAGTAGGCTTTTCCGATATTTTTTTCAAGTACTGGCGAAGTCTTGAATCTGATTTTTCGCACAGTTTCTTGAATTGAAATGATATGTGGAGCTTGGCGGAACATTTGTTGCATATTTGAGTAGGTAAACCATCATTCTGCCAAACCTACGTGCATAAAATTGTTATTACAATAATATAATGGGCTTATTTTAAAATCTATTAAAAATTAGAAAAAGTACCAGTTAATTTACCTGTATAGAGGCGCACGACATTAATTTTTTTGATATATTTACTTTAAAAATAGACATCATTATTCCTTCATTTAAACATACTCTGCATATCTTCTCAAAATTTAAAAAATTATCTTCCATTATTTATATTTTTTATTTACTATTTGTGCAAATTTGACATTGACATGTTCGACATTTGACACTAGAGTAATTTCAGGGCGACCAACTTACAACCCATTGATATAGCAAACCAAGGATAAGTCATTTGTAACTATTTTTGATAGGCGTGTCTTTTGCACTCACTATAAAATGGCTGAAAAGCAGGTCCGGATTTACACGTTTTTACTTCTACTATTTCTGGTTAAGGCCAAATCGGGTCGATAGTGTAGCGGTCTAACACGCGTATATTCTCATCGTGAGCTTCTTCGCCGCCACCAGAAAATTTTTAAACCATACCTGGCTACGCCGACCGGCATGAACTCCAACGGCCTGGAAACAGCTCAAATTGAAAAAAAAAACCTAACCTAACCAACCCTCATTAGCGTCTGGCCAGTGAACCTCAATCCCAACTTTTAACGAACGTCTCTTGTATCGTGGGCATCTAATAATAAGAAAATATACAATAAGAAAATGAAGGAACGACTTCTTGTAAGGTGGCGGCTTCGCCGCCACCAGAAAATTTTTAAACCATACCTGGGTACGCCGACCGGCATAAACTCCAACGGCCTGGACACAGCTCAAATTGATTTTTTTTTAATATTAGATAAGTACTGACATGCCGTAATTAACGTACAATCATCATGAAATGAAATAAAAACACATTTGTCTGTAATTACTACAAATGTTTTCACTTCGAGATCCAAATTTACCTGCTGGCCAGACACTATGTAATTTTTCAGCCAACTTTCACTAACCGAATTATTTCCTGACTTATATGTTTTCTTACTCGATTTGGCAACACCGCATTTATAGAAACTAGACACATCAATTGTCATTGAAAATAATTTAAGTTTTATTTGTTTTTCTAACAAACTAAAAATTAAAAATAAGAAAATTTGATCATTTATGAAAAAATTTGGTAGGGTTTATTGCTCTATGAATGGTCTTATATTGATATTTAGCCGTTTCTTCAACAAGTGAAAATGGTTTATTTCACATTTGTTTTATGATGGAGACCCGACAACAAATTTTAAGAATTAACGTAAATTTTTTTTAAATAAGTGTTAGCGGACCCAAAATTGTTATGTATAGTGTGTTTCAAAGTGTCTAGAAACTCTTTATAACATTTCAATAGTTATATCCGCCGTTCGAGTGTCGGCGTAATATAATACCCGAATATCTTGTGGAATGCTATTATTTATCGATTCTTTACAAGAATCACTAATTTTTAATTATATTTAATCTCAATACGTAAAAAAATATATACTGACAATTAATTTGACGGAATTGTCACTTATAAAGTTCTAACATCTGACGTAGAGGGCGTATCTAACCAATAAACAAAATCGTTAGTTCGATGATTGTACCAATAGATGTCGGGCGCGATTGCCTCCAATAACTTTTACATGGCGATTATCCTACTATAGTTCTTTATACAATGCTTGTGTTGTGTTCCAAACAGAAAATACCATTTATAGAATAATTCATTTACTTTAAACCTTTCCCCGCACAACACCTCGCCGCTCACCCTGGAGCATGGTAAAATTGGGCTAAGCCATTTTACATTCGTCTGCATAGGGAGTAGGGAGCGATGTTGCAATTTTTCACTTTAGTGTCTATTCCGTCTGTTCAGATGGCAGCATCTGATGGGCCCTACATTTTTAAATATTATCACAAGATTCCTGAAATAATTAGGCAAAAATAAAAGAATGTATTTTGCGTTTTAACTTTTAAATACTATAAAAAATGATGGAAAGTCCATAACTTTTATATATTTGTTAAATATCACTTATTAAGATATTATGCATTAAAAGTAAAACAAACTATAGACTTGCCACCATTCTTTACAGTTTTTTGAACCTATTTATGAAAACAGTTTTTGGAAATATTATCGTTCAGAGCTGTATTTCTTGTGATAAAAAAGTCGCCGTCACTTGTCATCGACAGCGCGTTGAACTTGCCCTTAATATTCAATTATTACATTAATCCAGATATCGATAATATTTGATTGATGTTTAATCTTACTTTCGATTGTGATTAATTTATCAATTATTAGTAAACACCTAATCCAATTACATATTAATAAGGTATGCACTTTAGGACCGATTCCACCGTTGTTTTAATGACATTGTTAATGTAAAAATGTCATTTTAATCTGCGTTTAGTAATTCACAACGGTGAAATCGGCCCTTAGGGAGTAAACGTATAACTTTTCGTGATAAAAAGTTGCACTTCAGTTTCTTGGTGTATAACATACTGTTTTAGTTAAAATCAGGCAAAAATATTGTTTTGTATGAAACCAAATTCTCAAAGGTTGTTGCCCACAACATATTTTTTAATGGACTGAAAAAAATCTGTTTTCTTAGTATTTCCTTTAAAATCGATTAACATTATTTTGAATTTGACAAGTTTGAGAGCTGTCGTGTCTCTCACCACCGGGACATAGTTCATGTTGTTCACCTCCCTCCCATGTTCCTATATAACTACAAATAGTCAAATGAGGGACTAATTAGAAATACGTCTGACTCTGTTGATTTTCAGGGGTTGTTTGAGCTGATCATGATGTTGTTTTTGTATTTCTTTATTTAAATCTTTCGATAAGTAATTATTTTTCATTTCAGTTCTATTAAAAATGGAACGGAATGTTAAATATGAGAGTTATTGCTAATAATTAAAAGTATGATTCTAAATTAATTTTAGAAAAAACGTGAAGTAAATGTTATTTATATCTTTATTCATTTCTTAACTTCATGATTAAAAAAAAGAGTGTCATTTAGATATTTGAAAAACGTGTTATTGATTATTTCCATAGCTATTTTAATAGTTAACATTAAAATACTTGCATCTTATCACTTCTCAGAATTCGTGATATTAGCGTACAAGACTGTAACATTATTAATCTCCAATATTTAGGCCACTTACTCAATGTGATTAAATACGTACTTTGGTTTGAAGAGGTATGGCCGTTGCTAAAACGTTAATTGAAAATTTACGAGCCTGACAAACTTTGTCACTAGATGTTTAGGCTGTTGAAAATAATTTTATTTAGATTCTGCCTCATACATTTTAATTAACTTTTTTGCAACCGGCTAAAATAAGCATTGTAGCATTCGTATAAAACAGTTTGTCCAGTTAGACAATAAATTGCATACATTTTAAATACCTTTATTTATTTATAACCAAACAGACAAAGGCCTTATTACATGGTTAAAGAAAACAATACATTATATCCTATTATTCAACATTTATCTTATCTAAGATTTGTAGAGGTTTAAACTAGTTCACCAGAGTTGTTCTTGTTTTATATACCTAGAAATATTTAAAATGTAACTTAACATATTTATAATAGAAATATTTAAGATGTGGCTTAATATACGATGATAATATATTGTTTGTGGCAAACACCATAATAGTATCTTTTTCACCCTTCTCTATAACGATATTGTTAGAGAATCTTTTTTTAACTTTATAGGGTCCTCAGGGCCGACTTTGGGGGGGGTATCCGGGACTAATTCCCGGGGCCCTGTAGCGGTATAAGGGGGGCCCGGGAACAGGATTTTTTTTTGTTTTGTATCAGAAAATCGACAGAAGGTAAGAGGGGAAATTGTTGGCTAGAAGAGGAAAATTTTTTGAGTGAGGTTTTTTTTTTAGAAAATTCAATTCAAGTAGAAGAAGAGTTTTTGTTTGAGGAGCTTTCTTTTGTCACGGAGCCCGATCTAGAGAATTGTCCTGGGGCCCGGCCTGGCTCTCGGCGGCCCTGAGGGTCCTTCATAAGGTAGTTTAAGGGACGGCTTCATTCCCTCAACTCTGACAAAAACGTATTTACATGAATTTAACTCAGGATACACAAAAGGTTTTTTCTTGCTATGATTTGATGTTGTTGTCGGTGTAATGTTCGCAAATAGGTAGTTAGTCTTAGATTGGCCAATAAAGGATAAGTGTCAATGGCATCATTAGAATTAACGAAAAATTCACCGGGTAATCGTATACGAGTTCAGCCGAAGAATAATGAAGATCCTCTTTGACTGTAGCTCGTAAACCTAGTAAAATTAAGGGAAGTTCATCTTTCCAGCGATTTATATTACATCTAGCTATTAAGGCAGTCTTAAAAGTGCGGTGAAAACGTTCCACCAGTTACTTTGCGGGTGATAAGTTGTGGTATGGATTTTGTGACATCCTAAAAATTTTGTTAACTTCAAAAATAACCCGGATTCAAATTGAGTGCCTTGGTTAGTTGTAATTGTGTGGAGTACGCCAAAACGACAAATGTACCGGTTAAATAAACATTTGGCAACTGTTTCCGAGGCGATATTCGAAATTGGGTAAGCTTCAGGCCATCTTGTAAATCTTTCTAGTATCGTTAGGATATAACGGTAGTTGGACGATTGAGGGAAAGACCCTACTAGATCTATATGGATATGTTGGAATCATCCTTTAGGTATGAAAAACTTTCAAGTGGGGATTTATTGTGTTTGTGTACTTTTGAACTGACAATTTAGACATGATTTTGCCCAGAGTTTGATGTCTGAATTCATGTATTTACTGCCTACAAGTTTTTTAGATGCTTTGATACCAGGATGACAAATATTGTGCAAATGTTCATTCACGCTGTATCTGAGGTTTTTAGGTATGTAAGGACGTTGTATAGGTTATGATACTTCACACTATATTTCTATATCCTCATGAGACATTTTTATGAGTTCTAATGTGTGTTTGTTTTGTGTTTTGGTAGATTAGTTTTTTAAAAGGTTTTTTTGAGAGTCCTTCAACGATTTAACATCAATTTAATTTTCATTTAAACAGAAAATACTATCGTCAACTCGTGATAAGGCGTCAGCGACCACATTGGACTTTCCTTAAATATGACATATTATGTCAGAAGTAAATTGAGCAATAAATTCTAAGAAACGAAATTGACGTGGGCTTTTTTCTGAAGAGGATGTAAGAACTTTAGTAAGGGGTTTATGGTCGGTATAAATTGTAAAATCGTGGCCTTCTAGAAAATATCTAAAATGTTTTATGGATGCATAAATGGCTAACAGTTCACGATCAAAAGTAGAGTATTTTCTTTCGGTAAGAGTGAGTTTCTTTAAAAAGTAAGCTATAGGTTGCCATCTCTTGTTTTGCAGCTGTTTTAGTACAGCACCCATAGAAGTATTGGACGCATCTACTGTCAAAGAAGTATGATCATTCAAAGAAGGATGGATAAGCATAATAGCATTGGCTAATTTGTTTTTGACATCCACAAAACTATTTTCACATTCATCAGACCAATGGCTGATAGTTTTATCGGATTGGTTTTGTAATGTAGTAATTACTTCATATAGAGAAATAAGTGATTTAGCAGTCTTTAATAAATCTGTGATAGAAGTTGATCATTCCTACAAAACGTTGTAATTGTTTGAGATTTTGGGGACGTGGAAAATTTCTTATGATGTCTACACATTCTTCTGACGGGAGGATACCATCAGAGGAAACAGTATGGCCACCAAGAAATATTAATTTTTGAGATCCAAAAACGCATTTATTTGGTTTAAGATTAACTCCGAAAGAATTTAGTCGCTCAAATAGAGTTTTTAGGTGTACTTGATCTTTTTCATCTCTGCTTGTTACTAATACATCATCTATATACACGAAAAGAAAATGTAAACCAGAAACAACTTCATTTATAAAACGTTGAAATGTTTGTGCTGAATTTCACATACCGAAAGGCATTCTCAAAAATTCATACAGGCTAAAAGGGGTAGTTATGGCAGTCTTATAAACATCTTCGTCTGCTACCGGGTTTTGGTGGTAAGCCCTAACCAGGTCAATTTTTGAAAAAAATTTACATCCGTGTATGTGTTGATTAAAATTTTATATATTGGGTAATGGGTACCTATCTGGGACAGTTACATTGTTGAGTTGTCTATAGTCGCCACAAGGTCGCCATTCGAAAGAATCTTTTTTGGGCACCATGTGTAATGGAGGAGCTACTGGAGAAGATGACGGCCTACATATACCAAGTTCAACCATTTGTTCGAATTCGATTTTAGTAATATTATGTTTATTAGGATTCGTCGCGGACGAGAAAATGGAAGGCGTCCTTTAGTAATTATGTGATGTTTGACTGAATGTTTGACTGATGAGAAAAAGTCCGCTGGTGCAAATAAATAAGGATAATTTTGAGCTAGCTTCGTGTATTCGTTTTCAATCGAGAATATTTTGAGTGTGGGGGTGTCAGTGTTTACAAATACAGTGGAAATTGCAAAGGAAGTTTGACTATCAATGAGTTTTCTGTTTCGGAGATCGACTATCAAGTTAAAATGTGATAAACAATCTGCACCAATGATTGGACTAGAAATATCGGCGATTGTAAAAATGAAAGAAAAATTTCTTCTTAAACCTAGATCCAATCTGAGTATCTTTTTCCCACAAGTACAAATAGAAGAACCATTAGCATCAGTTAATAAGTTATTGCTGTCCTTTTTGTAATCTTTAAAAACTTCACCTGGAACTACAGAAATATCGGCCCCTGTATTTTATTGTTTTTGTCAAAGATAAAAAGGCGACTTATGTTTGAAATATCTGCAGTATAGTGGGTTTTAGTCGTTTTTTTGTATCAGGAGATTTAAATGTGTCGAAAAGAATGCACCAAGGTCCACAACATTTCAGTGCCTTTTTTTAGAATTCCTGATGATAGTAACATACGGAATTGTTTCGAGGTGAAAAACGAGAACGGGACCTACCCTTGATCGATCTCTATTTCTACACGGCTACAAAAATAATTGTTAGAATTAGAAGGGTAATTTTGTACTTTATTTTGTAAATAAATGATATTTTCTTCAAAGGATTTTTGATTACTCGCAAGTTTATTAAGAACAATTTGACAATTAATTGAGAAATCGCTAAAAAGTTTTACAAAAACGTCGTTACTCTCTGGCGAATTTTTCGTTAATGCTGTAGACTGAGAGACGTGAGATGCCTGACTAGTAGAAGGTTTGTTAATAATCTCATGACAAGCTGAAATATTTGATGCTTGGTACGTCTCCCAAATCTTCTCAGCAATATCTAAAAAATCATTGACACTCCTTACCAGATGCGGTTAGAGCAACTATAATGGTTTTCGGTAGTCTCCACTTCCACAGTTTAAGGAGTAAATCTTGACTAACCATTTGTGAACCTCCAACAACATTTAACATATATCTATAAAAATCAGATGGCTTGCAATCACATTATTCGGAATTCGCTGTCGGATAATCTGTTGATTAAGGTTTCCTTAAGTATCTGGTAGAAATTTTGCTGGGGAGGAGAAGAAATAAGGTCCTAAATATTTGAGATTACTTCTAAAGGTAAATTAGCGATAATGTAGTTATATTTGGTAGTGTCAAGAGTTATTCTGGCTAGTTTGAATTGCGAGTCTACCTGACTGAACCAAATCTCAGGTTTAGCGATCCAAAAAGGTGGAAGTTTAATTGCTGAAAATATGTTCAGTGGAATTAATTTGGTTATTAGTCTCTAATAAATCAGTTTCGCTCATATTAGGTTAATTTGAATAACTAAATTACTGAAATTTCCTTCGATTTGGGAATACCAGATCGGGTTACCATTTATGGTGGCGGTGCGCCATACCATAATATAAAAATTATTGATTTTATAATAAAATATAAAGATTCTGTTAAAGATGATGTATTTTCAAAAATGGATACATATAGAAATCATCAAAATATGTTGTTTTAACAAACTTCAAAAACCATAACAACTTAATACTATAGAAACAACCAAGAAAGTAAAATATATATAGATAGTTTCGCACAATGGCGGCTTGTGGTAATTTAAAATGGGTGTTCACTTTTCCAATAATTTTATCATATTGTAAGTTCGGATCAAAACTTTGTACAAGAGTCAATGTCGCTGTTTTTTTATTATTTGAATTTGTATTAAATGTAGTTATTATTATCAACATCATACTGTTTTCAAGCACTACAACTATTAATAAATGAATATTTTAGTTAGTGTGATATTTGTTTTGTTTTTAATACGTTGAAAACCATCTATAAACATTATTAGTTAGTAAACTGACTTTTCTTCATAATTTGAGATTATTTTTAAATATATATCAGGTTATGTATAAAGCTTGACATTGATTTTTGTGTAAAAAAATTATATATGAACCTTTACCTACCATTTTTTAGTTTTTATTGTAAGTTTAATCATTTTCACAATTTGTCACAGATGTCAAATAAAAAATATATTTTTTGATTACCTTTTATTGGCAAATAAAATAAGAACTAAATGTTTTAAATGTATATTTTATAAGATCAGTTCCATCACAATACATAATATTACACAGACACAAACTAGAATAAAGATATATAATGCCTGGAATTTTAAATGATACTCTTCGCAGTTTAACAGACCCCCTTAACCCCTATTTTAAGGCAGATTGTTCTCACAATCAATAGGCCTCATCTCCTTATAGACCTTGATTTTTACTAAAAATTTCATGTTGATATCGCCTTTCATTTTTGATTTTTTTTTAATTTCAACCCCTCTTAAATACCCCATATTTAATCAGATTTTTTTATTATAATGAATCGGCTTCTTCTCCTTTTAGAGATTTCAAGTTTTTCAGTTAGGATTTTTTTTTATATTTCAACCCCCCTTAACTCTCCAATATATTCATATTTTTTTCAGTATCAATAGGCTTTAACTTTAACTTTTTATAAACTAGTGTTTAGACAGTTTCTCGTGTCAAATATAATTAAAAAAAAAATTATTATGTAAAATAAAAGAAGTGGAATGATAAAATATTAAAATATAACCCTTACTCTATTCCTATGGTTATTTACAAAATTATGCTGTGCCTGTAGACAGATCAAACGAACGTGTGAATTGTACTAGACTGGCAACACTGGTTTGGCAACCTTGTTTGTGAGCGGCGCGCCAATTAATGTGTTCTTTGATAGTTTGAAGGATATGTTGGCCTGTTGTCTTCTCTTTTTAGTTTTATGCATTCGGCATATCGTCTTACTCGTTTTAGACTCACTCATCATAATGCGCCACAGACACAGTATACTTAGGTATACTTAGGTATACTGTGACACAGAGACGCGATCAGCCAGAGGACAATGATGTACAAAAAAATTTAGATTAATACGTATGAAAATAAAAATATTAAAATTAAATTTATATTTTTATGTTATTTATGTAATATTAAAATAATGTGTTTTTATGAAATTTAACTGGGTGTTCATTGCAAAAATGAACCAATGGAGAAACCGCCTCTGGTTTCGCAAGTGAACACCATCGGTATCTCATAAAAAGTATTGTCCATGTATTTATAAATAATTTTTGCTTTAGAAAAAAAATATCTAAGTATCCTGACTAATTAATCACAAGTCGTGACAACTTGCGATATCATTAACACTATAAAAGAAGCTAATTAGTCTACTTTTTTTCAGTCAGTTAGTGACCGTGGTAATAATAATAATAATAATTATTATTTTTTATAAAATATGTGCTTTAAAATGTTTGTAAGTTTATTCTTAATGGTATTTTTGTCAAATGGAATTCAAGTAGAGACTTTGGAACAGAAGTATTCTTTAGAAACAAGATATATAGAAGTACCACTCGACCATTTTACTGCAATTGCCGCGCCAAAGTTTTTTAAATTAAGATATCTAATAAACGCTAAATACCATGTCAAAGGAGGACCAGTATTTGTTTACACGGGCAATGAAGGGGATATTTCCATTTTTGCTCAAAATACGGGTTTCATGTTTGACATTGCACCTGTTTTCAACGCTCTCCTTGTTTTCATTGAACACAGATATTATGGACAATCGCTGCCTTTTGGAAATGGATCCTTTTCTACTACAGAAAATATGAGGTAAATATCTATCTAGGTATACTTATAGTAGTTTTTTACAATATAATAAAAGTTACAAATAAAAACAATTAATTAGAATGTAAATATTAATTTTTAAAATAAATAAAAAGCAAAGCCATTTTCTACAAAGTTTGTATTTTGAACACGAAGGGTCTACCCAAAATAATTCTCCAGTTACGCCTATGGTTAATTGGTAAAAATTTATATTAAGGTAATTTTTTGGTTCTTTAATTTACGCTAAATAGGCCAGTCATCAGAGAAAATCAATTCACATTAATTGCAAAAGTTTTCAAATTTTGTTTGTTATACGTAATTTTCTTTCTTCCATCCATATAGATGTTGTGCTTTGTAATTTTGTTTTTTCCTCTAACTCAACAATTTGTTGATCGGTTAGCTTTAGTTTTATTAGTAACGTGTTTTCCATTTTCTCATGTTCTTCTTGTTCAAGGTCAGGTTGTTCCAACAGACCATAATCCAAATCAACTCGACCAATAGTTTGTTTGTTTCTAAATTCTTGACGCCTGACTTTTTTATGTGCTGACCTATTTTACTCTTATACAAAGTGTTAAAGTATTCGGGATCTTCGTTATAAGAAAGAGCTGCTGCTTCGCATCGCAATTGGTAAGATCCGCGTCGAGAATAATTGATTATTTTTCCTCCGATAAATTTGCAAATAATTGAGTTGTAATGCTCTGCTGAATTGTTGTCCATGTTTTGAATCAAATTGTCAGCATTGAGTAATAAACGTCTCATGCTCAGAATCAAGTGTAGTATAAATATGGCCGACGTGGTGACACTTTTGACCACTGCGTTTCCTTTCCTATTTTACTTCCATGCATTTTCCACACAAAAGTAAATTGTACATAAAATGATATTGTTGTGTGAGAATTATTATTAAAAGTTTTATTTCTGAAAACTTGTATAGTATTAGTTTATTAAATTATAGATCAAATCGTCGCCTTAATGCAGAACTATTATATGTTCAAAAAAATGAAGCTATGGTTCCCTCCCTATCCCATATAGAAATATTGAAATTCCATCCACAGTTGTTTTCCTTTTATCGCCTGGTAAAAATATTGTAAAACATAAATCTTTTAGTTATTCTGATGGCAAAAAATTGTTCTGTAAAATTCACATTTTGTGACATACAATGGTTCTGCGTTAAGGAGACGAAATATTTTAAAAATAAATTACATTAAACCTAAAATTATCAAATATGATCAAATAATTTAAACCTAAATTACATCCAAATCTAAAATTATCAAACATTTCTTGCAGATATTTAACTACCACTCAAGCACTAGCAGATTTCGCATTCGTAATCGAATATCTGAAGAAGAGCTTCTTTGAAAATGTTATATCCTACGATACTCATCCGTTCGTTGCTTTTGGAGGATCATACGGAGGAATGTTGGCCGCCTGGTTAAGAATGAAATATCCCTATTCAGTTATAGGATCTATCTCATCTTCGGCTCCAGTGTTTTACTTTCCCGGGATGACGAGCTGTGACCAATTCTATGAAAAAGTTACCACCGTTTTCGAGAAATACGGAAGAGAGCAATGCGTTAAAACTATTAAGCTGGCCTGGGATGTCATTATCAATTTGTCGAAAACGAAACTAGGTAATTTTTTATTTATCTATTTAAAAAAAGCGGAATTACTCCTCAAGAAATTATTTAGACCTATCGCTATGCTGGGTCATTGTATTTAATATCCAGAACGATGTTTCTACTTTATACAATTGGTGTAGGTAATCATAAATATTGACAAATGGAAATATTGTGTGTGAGACAAAGCATAGATTTTTTTAAATTGCAAGGTTTACTATTTGATAGTATCAAAACAACTTGTGCTTTTTTTAAAGAGTCCAAAATATTTATTTACTCTGCATAAACGGTGTAAGATAGAAATTTCAAATTATTTTCGACAAAAAATATTTCGATATCTTAAAATATTTAGTACTGAGAGGCGCTCATATTTCTACTTCAGTTAAAATGGAAAATTTTTAAACTTTTCATAAATAAAAAAGTTCTGCACAGACCGAAAATTGAACAAGGAGCAATCACACAGTTTTTATTTGGTTCTACGTTGAATTAGCGGTTTTGATTTACTCAACTACATGTATTATTCTACACCCGTATGCATACGGCATAGTCGATCGCCAGCGATTCGCCAGAGATTCATTTCGGCGTATCGCCAGCGATACGCTGGCGAAAGCCCGAAAAGGCGACTCGCTGGAGATTGTCACCGGCATGTTATCTTTTGGAAGTTTTCATGTTCTTTTATTTCTTCTTGGTTTGATTCTATACTAGTTCTTTGGATTTCATTAATTGTCTTGTCTATATCTATTGCACTAAGTTCAATTAATTGTGTTTTCTTTGGTTCAGTGTTGTCTTCCGTTTCAATTCTAAGATCTTCTATATCTTCGCCTATGTCTTTGCTTATATCTGTCGCCTGAATGTCATCAAAAATTATGTTTCCAATATCAGAGAGGCTATTGTAATTTGATTTATCTTCATTTATTTTTGTTTCAACTTTTGGAGGAGGGATAATAATATTTATTTTATTTCGTTGAACTAATGACAGGGCTCTATCTTCATTCACCTCATATTTACCATTTCATTTTCGTTCAGATTATTTGCTATGAGATTTTTATTTTCATACATTTTTAAAGTTTTTAAAGTAGTCTGAAAGTCTTCTGAAGATAAAAATTGTGATTTATCAATCGTTGGATTAGTTGGTTGGAGGTTTTCTAAACTATTTTGAACACATTTAGTGTAATCCACCGTGTTGCAGTCAAAGGGAAATAGTCCACAGCGACGAAAACCTTTTCTTATGTGTTCTGGTAAATTTTGATTTGCAACTGCTATTTTAAAAACTGGCGCGAAATCAAACTTTGTTAAGCATTTGTCCATATTTTCATTCTGCCAACTTCTTACAGCCTGCCGCTAATACTCTTTTAGTGGTTTAAATACTGCGACATCGGCAGGCTGCATTAAATGTGTCGCATTTGGTGGTAATGAATATAAAATTATGCCATTTTGATCGCTAAATTCACTCAGTTCGATTGACATATGGGACCGATGTCCGTCTACAAAAAATAAAATAGGTTTCTGATTGTTTTCTGTTAATAGCCACTCGTTAAGACCGTTTTTTACAAAGTCGATAAATACGTCGGATCTCATCCACCCGGATTCTGATTTTCCAAGAATCCATTCGTCCGGTAAACTTTCGACGACCAGAGCTCTCGGTGTATTCTTATATGGATAAACCACGCACACAGGACATATATGCCCATCCGCAGAAATAGTTAAGAGCACAGTGATATTTTCTTTTTCGTTTCCCTTCTTCGCCTCATAGAGATTTTTGAACCCTTTTGGTCCAAGGACCCTTCTAGTTTTTGGACATAAACTAAAACCGCTCTCGTCGGCGTTAAAAATTCTCGATGGAGATGTTAAAATATCCGTTGCCCCAATGCTATATAAAAATACTTCTAGCTTGTGAAACCAGAATTTGATGTATTCTTCTGTCAATTTTGCCCGTGATTTATCTATTGACTCGGCAGTTCGAGCCGAAATTTGGGGGTGCCTTTGAAGAAAAGATGAATACCATCTTTGTCCCGGTTTTCCATCCTTAAATGGGTTCTTTGTTTCCATCAAGAACTATTTTTTGGACAGTATTAAGAAGTTCCTGGTTTTTAATTGGAAAGCTACATTTAGCCAATTGAATCAAACATGTCAACTATCCTTTTCTCATTTTCTAGCATTAAGAACGGGTCAGGTCCCATATTTCTAGGTTTATCAGAAACACGTCCCTTAATCCGATCCTGGAGCGTTGCCCGCGGAACCCCATATGCTCTGCATGTTTGCCTTATTTTGGCGCCAAGTTTTACCGCATCTAATGCTTTTTGCAAGCTTTCCTCCGAATATGAGTGTATTTTCCTTTTTGGTTGTTTAGGCATGGCCTAGAATAGCAAAAAAGGCAAATTTTAGATGAAAATATGCACAAAAATAGAGAAAAAATTTTGTGGCCGACGACTAGCAAAATGTTTATTTGGATACTGTTCTAGTAGTCGGCCACCAACTTAAAAACCAAATAACTTTTTTGTTATGTACTTTGACATTAATATAAATGTAGGCATGCAAGAAAACTATATACCGACTTCAATAAATGCAAAAAAGACAAAAACATAAAAAGGTCCATGCGCTAGTAGTCGTCCACCATGGCTGACTACTAGCACTATAGGTTAGACTTTATTCCAGTAACCGGCCACCTTATTTTAACCTAAAAAAAAAACTAATATCTCCTTTTTACATAAAAAATAAGTTATTTTAAAGTCTACACTTACCTTTATAGTCATAAAACAGCTTCTAGACACTTACAATTTGATTAAATTCACTTGTCTCACATATACACCTGCATCTTTCACTACTTTCCATAACTGCTACACGAGCCCAAGTTGTAAACAGGTACTTTTTAGGCGGGAATTGTTAATACTAAAACTTGACGCAAGAGTGCTTTGATTTTTAGGTTAGAGAAAGGTGAATGTTTACTGGTAAATAGAAACCTATTTTAAATTGGCGGAAAACTCAAATTATAATTAAAAAAAGACTAAAGCGGCCGACTACTAATGGGGGCCGCCTTACTAGCGAAACCACCCTAATTAAATAGTAAACGAATTGAAAAGAAAACGATTCACACTTTCTGTTATCAACAATAACAAGAAAATGTCACTTCAGACAATTAGTCATTAAAATAATTAAAACGAAACGTTGTCACATTGAATTTATTGACATTACTCGTTTCTAAACATTTAAAAGATTTAAATTTTTTGTCAGAGACCGCCCAAATCAAAAGGATACCGTCCTTTGTCATTAAAATTGGCAGTTTCGTATATATCAGTCCACTTTTCGGTACATAAAAGATTTACTAAAGTATTCAAGTTGCTTTATAAAGATCTCTAATAAAAATAGGCCAGGTTTCTTGATTTTTTATTAATATATCAAATTCGCACAGATGTAAAGAATGGTCAGAAAAAAAAACTTTTTTGTACAGTTGCCTTTTTATGAGAGATCAATTTGTAAATATTTGATCTAGCATGGTAGAACTAACGCTAGTGATACTTGTTGGTTCTGAAATTTGATTGAATATATTTACCAGTATTTTTGATTCTGGGTTATTTGTTAACGTTGTAAATTAAAAACTATGATTTGGATATTTATTTGGGAGTTGGGTATTTGTAAAGTTGTAAAGATATAAAAAGCATTAAAAATGAAATTTATTTTCTAGGGATGGACTTTATTTCTACAACATGGAAACTCTGTAGAAAACTAAAAGGCCCCGAAGACGTTGAAATATTATTGAATTGGTTATCAAATATATACGTTAATCTGGCAATGGTCAACTATCATTATCCAACGGATTTGTACGCACCTTTACCAGCTTACCCAGTAAAAGTATTTTGCGATAAAATAACCACTTCTTACTTCAACGATACCAAAGGTTTGATAGAACATTTTAGCCACGCGTTAGAGATCTACACCAATTACACTGGAAAACGAGTATGTAATAATATAAATAGCACATTCGAAGAATACGCTGAACTTGCTTGGGATTACCAAAGATGTACAGAACTCGTTATGCCAATATGTTCAACTGATGCTGATATGTTTATCACGAAACCATGGGATTACGAGAAATATTCTTACGATTGTTACAAGAAATATGGAGTTAAAAGTCTCCCACCTGATTGGGCTATTCTGGCATATGGAGGGAAAAATTTGAAATATTATTCGAATATGATCTTTAGTAATGGAATGATGGACCCATACTCGTGCGGTGGCGTTTTCCACAACTTATCTGCTACAGTTTGGTCTTTTAATATATCTGATGCTCCACACCAAATAGATTTGAGAAATTCAGATGTTGCCGACAATAACTACGTCATAGGAGCTAGATCATTCCATATTCAAGCTATAAAGCAGTGGTTAAATATGGTGTAAAGAGTTTTGATTATCACTTATTATGTCTATTACTTAAAAAACTTTAATCAAGTTAAAATACATTTTAGCAATATTTATTTCGTTTTTATTTTTCCCCATTTTTTCTTTTTCTATCCTAAAGATAAAAGAAAAGATATATCAACAAAAATAAGAGTGTGTCCATCGTTATACAGCGAGGACATATAGGTTGGAATAAATTCGAATTGATATTTGAAACAGTGAAACAGTGTGCACGTGTATTGTTAGCTCCTCCAAAAATTTGTAAAATAAGTGGTACAGAGTGCTAGAATCCATAAGAAATTTATGTGAAGAAATAAATAAAAATATTCAGGATCTTTCTAAAAAAATAGATTCTGTTGAAAGTAAAGTTGAAACATTACAAAATAAAATATTATCACTTGAACGAAGATCTAGACGTAACAATGTAATAATTTTTGGTATGGATGTGGACAAATTAAATCTGCTGAATAATTACCTAGAATTTTTAAATAAAACTCTTGGCACAACTCTGCAAAGGAATGAGATAAATAATATATATCTTGGAGGTAACAAAACCAAAGACAAGCATCATATTGTTATTGAGTTTATTTCCTATCTACAGAAACAAAGTATTTTTAAGAATATTGGCAAACTAAAGAATTCTGGAGTGGCTATTGTAAACGATATGTGTTTTGAAGATAGACAAACCCAACGTGTATTAAAGGACCACTTTTTTTTTTTTTTGGCTTGGGCACTTGCCATTCAGCCAGTCGCGGAATAAATTATATGAGTTTAAATTGCTTAAATTGCATTATCACTCTAAATACATCCATTCAATCATACACACTTACACACTTTTGTCCTAAGCAAGAAAAGAAAAACAATATATAACAGAAGATAAGGCAAGCAAGGAATAAACAAAGGAAAACATTTCTTCTTGTCTAGGGGCCCGTCAAGACATTTTTTTTACACACAAAACTAGGCAACGGAAAGGTAGGTATATAACAATTGGGTTAGAACATAGGTTGCAAGACTAATATTAATTACAAACATACTTTACTTTCATACACAAATTTTATCAAGAGGTCGTAAATTTTTGTTTGATTAAGTGAGAGGAGATGGCAAATGTTAAATGGAGGAAATACATTATTTTTAATTAGATCTTGTGTCAGATCTTGAGATTGTTGGGTATAGTTTGCACAACTAAAGAAAATATGATTTAGATCGCCTTTCTCTTGACACATAGTACATATCTCCGAATCTATAACATGGATTTTGAATAAATGTGCTGGATAACATGCATGTCCAAATTTCAATCTAATGATAGTTGTGATATACTTTCGAGGAAGTGAATAGTTTTTAAACCAATGCACATATTCGGAATTTTTGGTTGTATTTTTGAATATTGAGTTGTAGTGGTTTTGCAAAAATCTTTCCAAGATTTTCTCCAATTTTTCATTTTACGTTGTTTCTCAATTGCAAAAGCATCCAAATTGCACAGCTGATAACCTGTCGGTAAGCCATTGGTAGTTGCGCTTTTAGCCAAAACATCTACATATTCATTATGTTTGAGCCCTATATGTGCTTTAACCCATATTAATTGAACCATTTTCGATGTATTATGGATTTCGAATAGTATCTTTTTAATGAGCAAAATATAAGCATTTGATAAATTGGAAGGAAACTTTGGGCTTTGAATAGCAAGTAATACAGATAGGGAATCAGATAAAATAACTGCAGTATTATTATTAGATATTTTAAAGTATTTTAAAGCTTCATATATAGCAATTGCTTCTGCACTAAATATTGAAAAATTTGATGGTAACTTAAAAACGTTCTCTGTAGATGTAGAAGGGATGAAAAAGGCACATCCTGTACCAGCTAAAGTTTTAGAAGCATCTGTGTAGATCTTTGTAGAATCAGGCCAGTTTTCTAGTTGTGAGTTCAAAATATTGGAACTTATTTTATCATTTTCATGATAAATTGGTTGTATAACATTAACATTGTTAAAAAAGGCAAAGAAATCCTCAAAATCTAAGCACTGATCTATACTGATGAGTTCCTCATAATTGCTAATATTTCTAAAACCTTCACAAAGTGGGGGAGATTGTTTATGTATCCAATATTTTTGGGTAAAATCAAAATGATTCAATTTACAAATACTAGCATACAAGGTAGGATTTGTACATCGGACTTTTATCAGAAATTTGTTGCTAAGATATTCTCTTCTATAGCATAATGGAGGTTCTAATGCTTCGACATGCAGTGGATCGATAGGGGTTGATTTCATAGCACCTATACAAATGCGAAGTACCGTATTTTGAAAGACATCAATTCTTCTTAAAATGTGATTGCTTGCTGATCCATAAAGTATACAACCATAATCTAAAATAGATCTTATGTACGATCGATAAAATAACAAAGAAGTTTCGACATCCGCTCCCCACCAGGTTTTCGATATTGATTTCAAGAAATTTAAATCCCTATTGCATCTATTTAGCATATGATCAATATGTAGTTTCCATGTCAATTTCTTATCAAGAACCATTTCTAAATATTTAATAGATTTGCAGAAAGGGAAATCGTTACCGTTTAATTTTAGTTTTTCGATATTTGGGACATTGTGTCGAGAAAAAATGCAGACATTAGATTTACTGGATGACATTAGGAAACCGTTACTTATAAACCAATTAGATGCGTATTTATGAAGTTTTTCCAAAGATTGTAAACAAGAATCATATTTTTTAGATTCGGTATATATACAAAAATCATCAGCATACTGTATTGTTTTGAAAGATGGATTATTGATACAGATTTCGTGAAAATCGGCCGTATACATATTAAACAGCAAGGGGCTCAATACTGAACCCTGTGGAATGCCAGAACTATTATATCTAGGTCCTATAATTTTATTATTAGGACCACCTTAAAAACGCAAAAAGTCAAAATCATCAAGTTAAGATTAAAGGATCTAGATTGGAAATTGATGGAAAGTTATTTACCCTTGAAGATCTAAAGAAATTAGAAGAAGAAGCGTCTGAGGAAGAATTTAGTGAATCAGAAGAAGAACAAAAGGAAGAGTCCCCAGAGAAGATAGAATCTACAGAAACTATAGTAAAACGAAGAAGGCATAAGATTAGTTACAGCCCTCCATGCCCTCGGACATGAAAAAGTTAACTCTAAATAGTTTTAAAAAAAAGTTATATTTTAAGTTATTTAATGAACAATGCGCTGAATCATAGGGATTTTATTAAACAGCTTTTTTTATATAAGAATATAAAGCAATGTATTTTTTTTTCTTTTCTGTTTTGTTGTTTAACTGGGTTTAACTTTGTTTCACTACGAAATTTATTAAAAAAAAAAGGTTCTTGAGGAAGAACAGCTATGCTGATTTTGCGCCTTTTAATTAACAGTATACATATATTTACCTTTTATTTACCTTTTATTAAATTGTGTTTTTATTTATTACATGTATTTATTTTTACTGTTGGTTAATAAAGATATATTATTATTATTATTATTATTATTATTATTATTATTATTATTATTATTATTATTATTATTATTATTATTATTATTATTATTATTATTATTATTATTATTATTATTATTATTATTATTATTATTATTATTATTATTATTATTATTATTATTATTATTTTACTGTCTAACAGTATTTTAACATATTATAAGCCACAGGTAGTAAACCTGAAATAAATATAAACAATTATTGTAATATAAATATTCCGAAAAGTAAATAATATTACTTACATGTTTATTTATATTATTTCGTTTGATTTTAATACTGCTCCCATCTATTGAAGTAAATGCTTCAATTTTCTTGGCATTTGCCTTCTACAAAGAATTGGTTCATGACTGATTACATACCTTTCTACATAAGAGCAGTAAGCATTTTCCTTAAAATATTTAGCTAAAAATAATTTCTAAACAATTTGATTAATGGTTTGTAACCACTGTTTATGTTAAGTGCTTGAGATTCGTAGGAGACCTAAAAAATAAAATGCTTTAGAATACAACAATAGGAACCCAAATAAAGTAGTTACTGTTACTTACAAATAGAAAGATTTGTTAATGGTTTTGTAAAGTGTAGGTTCGTAAATAATATCTTTGGGTACTGACTTTAAATAAATATTATAACATAACCACTAAAACATGTCTAAAACTATTGCGCCAAGATGTAGGCAACACGTAATAAGGCGTCAAAATGGCGGAGTTTTCTATCTCCTTTTAAAAAGCACTCAGAAAGCTGCGCAGTGCGACCATTCTCCGTATAGTAAGAAAAAATCGAAGTATGTGATTTGTTTGCTGTAGTGTTGTCAGGATAACTCAAAAGCTCCCTGGCAACAGAGAGATATCAATATAGAGACTCACTGTATCTATTATTATAGATAACAGCAATCTCATCAATAAGAAATATTAAAAATAATATCATTTCAGATTTAATTTTCTATTTATATTTTTTAATATTCTAGCACATTCGAATAAAAAATAATTAATGAAACAAGGACAAAAAGTGTTGTTGAGTTCGACTATGAAACATAGGAAACGTAATCGCCCGAAAAATGTTCGTCCTCATAACATAACATACTAGTTTGAATCATTTTATATTAAAATGTAGTCACAAAGTAGAAGTACCTAGATATAGATTTCACTAAAAGTGATACTTAAATTTGTTTTTTTTTTAAGATCGATATGAATAAATAACATAATGATCAAAGATTGAGTAGGTTAAATGTATTTTTAAAAGATAAAATTGTAACAATGACAAGCATTAATTGATATCACATTATATATATAAATAAATTTGATGTTACCGACCTCAACTTTATCTCGAAAGCCAAGGGAAATGGAAAAAGCATCATATGCTCATAATAATAATAATAATAATAATAATAATTAATAATAATAATAATAATAATAATAATAATAATAATAATAATAATAATAATAATTAATAATAATAATAATAATAATAATAATAATAATATAATAATAATAAT